GGGTCTCCGTCACCTGCAGCCTGTGAAAATAGTGCTAGAGATATAACACCCGAAGTGGGAACATGGACCTCAGAATTCATTGTAGAAATATGTATATCAAACAAAAGAGTTTGATGTAAAATGTGCAAGTGTGAGAAAAAATAATAAAGACTAGGAAATTAAGTTAAATTAAAAGATTTCTTCAATGTAAAGAAAAATAATAATAATGAAGAAATCCCACTTTGGAAATTAACATGTTAAAATCGCAATTCACATGAAGAGCATCAAAAGAAAAAAAACGTCTGAACACAAGTACTGCAAAACAAGAAGTGATAGATTGGTAGAATAGAATAGATGGAGTCACATGCATCATGAGAGTATGTTGCACTCTTATTGGTGGAGGGTTGACACATATGATTTGCATGAGAGATGCATTGGAATAAGTCAACTCCAATAGAAGGAAGCTAGAAGGTTTGTGGCATGCATAAAAAAGTATTTTGCTTATAGAGAGCAGCACTGAATGAGGATAACTAATTATGTGAGTGGGGGTGATGTATCGTATCAAAAAGTCTAATTTTTTCACTTCTAGTATGTCCATTAATCATTCAGTAATTGTTCAACTCATTCCCTGTTCTTCATACTGTTTGAAACATCCTTGTTCAAATCTAAACATTCCTAATATAGCCATTATTAAAAATAAATAAATATTCTCCACCTAAAGAAAAAGTCTCCACTTCTTGTTTTGCAGTCCTACAAGTTTCCTTGCAATCATCCACCTTTTCCCTATTTTCTTCTGATAAAGAAGACCCTCCCTTAAGAGCTTTTAGTTTGTGTTTTTTATAATTAACTATTGTGCAATCATTCTTCAACACAGCAAAAATACCAGATAGTATTAACTTAACTTCACAAAGTAAAATAATTAATTGGCAACCTTTTATACTAGTAAATATATATGTATGTATATATATATATATGTGAGTTAAAGGTACAATTTCACCTGAAACTTTTAATGGATATAAACAGTTTATACATAATTTACTCTAAATCTTCAAACTTAACAAATTTGCACTTAAAAAAGTACAATTTTCATGTCGTAAAAGACAATAAAAAATCAAAATGACCTGAATAATATTCATCAAAACAACCAATGTTAATGTGGAGGCATGAAGAAATATTCAGAGGTTGCTGATAGTAAAACACAACTGTATATATATATATGCTAATATCACCTTAGTCACAAATAGTTATCAACTTTAACATATTTTACTACAAGAAATAATATTTCTATTAACTTTATTGTACCGTACCTGCTTCAAATTATTTTCAGCTAATGATGATGACAAGGTGTTACTTTGAAATAAAAAGTCAAATTCAAAATGGGCTTAAGCAATAAAATGTGATACCAGAAATAATCTATTACGGATATAACCTTGACACTTGATCAAGGACTTCCTTATGTATGAAATATAAAGAGGATACACTGTAATAGTTAAGGCATAATAACTCTAAGAAGAATTAAGCCTACATCTGTTTTCTTTTGTAGTTTAGTAATTTTGTGGCTTATCCACATCAGACATACAAGAAGTTTTTTAAATGCAACTAATTATCTGATCAACAGGAACAGTCAACTTTTACATCTTCAATAAGGTCTTAAACATCATTCTGAACTAAAATGGGATCAAATTAGTCATTAGTAGAGCTCACAATAATCATCTTATAATTAACTTGTATCTTATTTACAAACAATCAACGAAAACTGGTTCTTCAATACCTACATGAGAAATTTCTACTGTTTCAAATGAACAAGTCACATAAAACAATAATGCATTTTATGCTAATCAAAACAAACATTTGGGTGTTTATAGACAACATAATGTTATAAATTTTTTTAAAAAGAAAACTTGGGCTAATAATCTTGAAAATAAAAATTAATTCACAGTTTTACTTATTACTAAACTTTAATAGTTATGTTTATTCTAACACAAGTAAAAATCCACAAAGCACATGCAAAGAAGGCTGTCTGTAGTTTCTGTGAGCAAGTTTTAAATTATTCTGAACAATTTTTCACCAACTATCCACATAAGCAGATCACATTTGTTAGACAACAACTTCTTTCAGATTGTGTGACAGGATGAGGCAATTAGAAGGGGTAGTGACTACTATTATATTATATATGATATATATAAGAGGCATGGCCCTGTTTCAAATGAATGACATAAGGCTTCTAGAATTAGCAAAAATCTAGAACTAAAAAAATAACTTTTCTACAGAGAATAATTGTAAAGAACTATACAAAAATAATCTTGTTAGTGCACAATAGAAATTTGTTGTTATAAATACCCTGAATGAACTTCATTGTTGATTACTCTAAAGCAGTGGTTCTCATGTCTTTCTGTTCATGGACCACCTGAATTGTTGTTTTTATCTCAGTGAACCACAATAGAATCTATAAACTGTTTTGCCACTTTCTTTCCATGAAACACCTGTTAAGGAACTTGTGGACCACATATTGAAGACTGCTACTCTCAAGCATTTATATATTTTCAGCTTTCTTAATGGTTATCAACCAAAATAACCTTGAAAAACGAATGCGGCAATGACATTCAACCATGTCTCCTTAATAACAATTTCTCTACCCATTTATCAAATAAATTCATCTGATGTTTGATTGAAGACTGACTATACAAGATGTGGATCTAATGCCATTTTTAGACAATCCTTTCAAATCGCCTGTTGCATTATCAATCAACTTTTGTGCTTCTGAATTACACAAAACATTTTTACAAATGTAATCATATACAAGTGATGGATATTTGAAACAACAAAAACTTCAAAGAGTGGGATAAATTGATCCAAACCAAACAATCCTTAGTGGAAATTATGTTTAAGTCTGAGGAAACAATGAAAATATAAAGAAAATTTTAAAGTAAAAATTAGCTCTAAAATTTCAAGAAAATGTTATCAGCCATCACTGTTTGACCTATCAACAAGAGGCTAGGTATTCAGTTAACATGCCGGAGATGTGAAAATATTTGAAATATCAAGAAAGAAAATAAGAAAACATTTTTCAGCAATTTTGGGTTAAAAAACACATATATTTTAATATCAGTTTTGAATAAAAACAATTAACATTCAAAGCCAGGTCCATACAGAAAGTCAAAGTACAGGTAACTGAAAATTTACCTTAAGTCTAAGTACAAGAGTCGTGAAAAATTTCCTACAACTGGAGACAATGATGAAAACTTGTTAAAAGCCAGGATTAGTTCAGATATCTTCAATGCTAGAATATTGAGACTGAAAGATAAAGAGAAAAAATCTAAAGTACAGTTCCAGACATTAGAAACATCACAGACCAAAGATAAGATTGAATAAGCATAAGACAAAGTATAAAAAACATTTACAGCCTTTTTCTGGATCCTATCACTACAATACTAAATACCTTAATTTCTTCATTACTATATCAGTAGCTTTATAGCTACATCTAAGATGTAGCAAGCATTTAATTAAAAATACATTCAGCTTAAGAATAGCTGTTGAAAACCAGTTTGCATTGAATTGTATGAAAATCAAGACTTTACAAAAAAAGCCAGTAGAGACATGTTGTCTTGGCCTTGCACATATAGGATGTGTACATTCAATATCCAAAGCAGGTGTAACTTAAATACATTTATCTATTATATGGTTCACCACATAATAATCTTGCCAATATTCTTCAATATATCACATTACTACAGAATGCAAACATGTACTACTATTATAATCTTGATTTTTAAATATAATTTCATGCCAAAAGTTAATAACATATTACATTGATGAACACTTCATGGTTAAGCAATCCATGCATGTACTTGTCTTTAAATATAATCTAAATCAATTAAAATAACTGTACCTAAACTACTAGAGGTTAAAAAAATCCAAAAGGATATAATTTGATCATAGATATATAATGTAAATAACATACTCAATGCTCTAAATGAAGTTGTTAAAATTATGCCAATAGGGACTGATGGAAATACTTGCTGAGATAACTTAATAAATAAATACTGCACATATTACAAATATTCAAAAGGTAATATAAAAAACATGGATAAGTTGATGATATATATTGGAATAATAATCCTATAGAAATCAGAAAATATTTCAAAATCAATAAATCTATAATTTGCTAGATAATTACAGAAACTTTTATATTAGTACATAATAATTTTGTAATTAGGTAGAATATTATGACTTTGAAATTTAAAGAACTTCTAGAGGAGAAAAATGTTTTGTACATTTTTTATCATTCCTTAGGCACTGTCTACATCTATATTTCAAGTTTCTTGTTAAGTCTTACATGTAACTAGCAGTCATTGAAATAAAACATATGAAGCTAACCTGGAAGGCACATCAGTTAGAGCATTTTTACTAAGATCCACTGAAGTAACATCTTCCTCAACAGCTACTTTAACAAGCTCTTCTGAAATGCTCTTCACTCCTTTGTTGCTAGTTGTTAATAAAACACATAAAAGTAACTTATAGCTTAGAATGTAAGAAAGAAATGTACTGATCTTATTCTTTTAACATCATATTTTGCAGTTTCATAATTTTTTTAATTTTAAAATATATATTACTCACTTAAATTTAAACATTCATAAAAGTTGCTAGATAATTTTAATGTTATAGTGACTTAAAATGCATTCATTCTGTTTTATACAAAGCTTCACATGGGTATAAGTAATTAAACCAACAATATAAAACTCATTCTCAGACACATGACAGTTTTAACAATCACTAAGAGGGCCATATTTTGCTATATAGATCAAAGTTGATAATATGCTGGAAGATCTCTATGTATAACAAAAGTTATAGTTTAGCTTATTAGTTACAATGTATTTCAATGTGCAAAGGCTGCAAAGGTGATAATCTGATATTATGTAAAGCAGAAATAATATATTTCAACTGGTTTACTTGTGAAACAATTGAAAATAATACAACATTAGATATTTCAATTATCTTAAAAAACATTTAGGCTCTGTGATAAAATAGTTTACATTAAAGTGCCAAACAAAATAATGATATAAAAGCTCAAAACAAACTAACTCTGATGATATAGTTTGCAAAGCTCATTTACTGTTTTTCATATTGCTTGAAACATTTTAGTTCAAATCTAAATGTTCTTAATATAGACATTAAACATAAATAATTTTACAATTTATAAAATATTTCTAGAGAAAGTATGCCAATACTTAAGGCTCTTACCTAAGGTCAAGGGTACGAGTAACATGGAGAGTAAATCTATCAACACTATGAAGTCCAATTTCCTGGTGAACACAATGTCCACTATCATCACCTTCAGAAAGAGAGCCTTCCATCCTACTTCTCAGCCATCTTAGTAAGTGGACTGTTCCTCGCTATGCAGAAAAGGTATGAAAAAAATTGAAGAAATTATTGCAAGGAATTTTTAAAAGCTTCTTCAGACTGTACTAAAAGCAGTTCTATGAAGATTAAAAATGGCTTATCTTTTATCAAATAATTAGTCTGTTCACCATTAGTAATAAGATAGTTTTTTAAACTTATGATAGAATGTAATATAAAAAATTATACAGCTTCACTGTTGCATTTCAAACAACAAATTCATGTCACTGAATGCTTGAGAAAGCATAAAAAATGTAGGAGGTGAGAGGTCCATGTATAAAGATGAGTTCAAATGTAGAAACAAATGATGATGGGAACCTCAAAAAGGAGATATATCTGCTAAGTAACACCAAACAGCTCAATCAAACACAAAAGACAATCCAGGTCCAAACAGGCATAGAAGTGAGAAAGGAAAGAAAGAACAATCACCTTCACAAGCAACTAGTCTTAGGAAGAAAGGCTCAATTGGAGTAGAGAAGTAATTATGGTGAAAGAGAGTGCAGAAAGCACTGATGACACATACATTCAAATGATGACACCACAAGCAAGGAGGAGAAGAAAATACTCTTTCAGAGAAAGGTGGTATAAGGAACATGGAGCCTATTGCTTGAATGGAGCACATGTAAGATATATAAAACCACATTAAGTTCCAGGCATGGGACTAGGATGTGAGGTTGGTGAAGAAGGAAGGATCTTAACAAAGTGGAAAGGACAGGGGAAGAAAACCTGACAGTTACAAGAAATCTGCACAATAAACAGCAATGGTGAAACTAACAATACATGTTCGATTAACCATGTAAAAAAGGCTGACAGGTGGGCCACAGTAGGATGGCCCAGATGAAGAGAATGACAGTTGGACCAGCACTGAAAAACCTGCTACTTCCATTGATAAGTAGACAGAGTAGAAGGACAACAGGAATGGAATAAGAAAAAATGCTACAAAGTTGGAAAGACCAGCCATGTGGGAAATGAACAGGACAAATCCCACACATGAAGATGAAGGAATGACATTACTGGATGAAAGAGAGATGTATGTGGTTGGAGCAAGAGAAAGAGTAAGAATAGGGCAGAGGAAGAAGGGTCCTGGATGCCAATTGATGAAGGAGAGGAAACAAGGACTTTGCCAGCTAAAGAGGTGTCAACAACAGGAACCAACAAGAAGTGTTGCATATCAAAGTGAGGACATGAGGGAGAATATGAAGAGGAAGGTAGGTATACAGAAAAAGGTGAGACCAGTCTAGGCTGAAAGAATCAACTGCCAATGCCAAAGGAAGAGGAACTAGAGATCAGAAGAGGGAAAGTTTAGTGTGAGAAGGGTGGCAAAGGCATCAAAGAGAGGCATGCCCAACTGAGAATAAACCCAACAAAAAACCTGAGGGTGGAGAGACTGACAGATTGCCTGACTGACAGAGGCAATCCACCACCAAGTTAAGAGCCCATGATACATGGCAAGCTATGAGATGTACCCAAAGGGAATGAGTCCAAAATAGCAGGTACAATGTGCAGAAGAAATGACCATGGAACTATCAAAGTGAATCATCACCAACTGATCCACAAGAAGATGAAGGAAATGGAACATGCCCAATGGACAGCAAGAATTCTGAGTATGTTCAGAGCCCATACTCTCAAAGTCCTGTCATCATTCAAAGACATGCCACAGCCCAACAGAGAAACATCTGTAAAGAGCTGGAGATCTGGTAGGGAGGTGGCAAGGGGATGCCTACTGTGGAGTTGCCATGATCAAGTGTACCAATTTTGAGTAGGCATAAGAAAAGTCTAGGAAGGCTTGACAAGCCAGCCCATCAGAGCACCCTAAAGTAGAAGAATGCAGGTAAAGAGAAGGAGTCCTCCCAAGAAGGGGCAAGTATAAGCCAATCACTCACCTAATAATGGAACATCAGCCCCTATCTGTGAACATGAAAGACATATGCCTGCATGACTCGATTGAATACAGGCAGTCGTAATGCCAAAAGAAAGAACATAGAAATGGAAAACTTACCCTGATGGAGAAACGAAGAAAACATTTGGAGGACAAGATGATTAGAGTTGTGTAAAAAGGCATCTGAGACATTGACCCTGGTTATCCACAAACCTGGTGAAAAGGACCACTGGATAGCTAAGAAACTCTCCATACAGAACTGATGGATGACCAGAAACTGGTTGAAAAATAACAAGTCAATAATGTGATGCCAGTACCCAATCTTATTAGGAAGCACAAAGGGATGAGAGTAATAACCTGGAGTTTGAATATCATTCTTGGCCAAGATATCCCAGACCACATCCTTGAGATGCTAAAGATAAATGGGACTGGATGGAGGAGGAGAGGAACCAGAAAAAGGGGAAAGGAGAGGAGAAAAGGAGAAGTGGAAATATAGGCCATGGATGAGAACCTGAAGAATCCATCTGTCATCCTAAAACAGAGACCAAAGACTAATGAAGGATGTCAGGTTCTCACAGGGCCAGACCAGATAAGGTAATCACCATTGAGATGAGCAACAATCCTGAAATTGGGAAGCAGAAGAAAGCCAGGAAATTGAAATGGGAAGAGGAGACATGGATTCAGCAGGCCTTGGAGCAGAAACAGAAGGACAAGTTTGAAAATGATGAGAAACTAAAGTATACAATGAGAACTGATTCCAAGCTACCTTAGCCCTGGTCTCCAGTGAGTCATGAATACCCCCAAAGACCTATGAGCAAAGAAAAGTAGTCTTATAAAGATCATGGAGATGAGCATGAACAAAGTGTGACTTAGTTAGAAGATCATCCCAACAAGACTCAATAGCAGAGGAACCAACAAAGAAGGGAGAGAGAAAAAATAAGAATTATGGGTGAATGTGGTGAAAATAAGAGAACCTCTCCAGAAAACCCCTCTAGTGAACAATGAAATGCCTTAGAAATAAGGTGAAGTGATGAGAGGTAACACAGGAGGATGGTAAGAAAGAGACAAAGGTGTAAAAATTGGGCACTAGAAAGGGAAGTAGAAATTAAGGGATCTGCCCCTTAAATAGGTAAAAGAGATTTCAAAGACTGGGAATTGATGAATAAAATAAAGAGTGGCTGTAAGCCAGGACAAGAGTAAAGTAAACAAAAGGACAATGCATGTTAGTATGGGTGTGCAGTTGTCTGAGAAACAAGTCCACATGGGCTGTAATATCAAGCAGAAAAAGAAAAACAAAATAAATTTGAGTATGGGTGTCAAGAAAGAGATTAAAAGGGCGAGGATTTTCCTTCACAAATAAACCTGTGCCTACAGTAAACCCTGGTGAGGAAATATCCAGGCAAAATTATTGCCATCCTTGTCATGTTCAAATTGGGGAGAAGGAATGCTAGCTGAATGGACAGGAGGAGGAAGCATGAATGAACTCGCATCACATTGAAGAATGGATATCACATTCTCCTCAGACAACTGCCTCAAGTAGCCACAGGTTCCATGACTTGAGAAGTGATAATGGCGAGTAATCAGAAAAATTTTTAATTTCTCTAAGTGAAACTACAATACCATGCTGGTTATATGAAACACAAACATTAAACCAGGTGAACTTGAATAAAAAGTAACACAGTCATAAACTATTGCAAATCTCAAGTAACTGATTAACAAATTTGAAACATGCTCACTCTAGACAATGCCAAAGAAAAGAATGAAGTTAAGTCAAGTGCAAGTGCTACTGCATGAGATGGTTATGCTACCCTCCTATTGGTGGAGGGATACCATCTTATTATGACAGGCACTAGTGCAGTTAACATTAAACAAATTTTTAAGGTGGGAGGTAGCTCAAGGCTAGAGGCATGCAAGTCTCATAGGCAGATGCATGAAGGAATCAAGCTATTCTGTGTGAAGAGATTAGATTATCTTCCAGGGAATATTGTGTCTATACATTTTTTGGTCTTCAGCTGTTCATAGCAGAACAAACTAAAAGATGAAAATGAAAATTTGAAGAACCGCTTAACATATGTGGTCAGAAAATAGACTGAATAATCAATGAACTTTGTTTGGCCATAACATTTACCATATATTTCTTTCTTCTTTACAGAAATTTTAACCCCTTCTGTGTATCTTCAAATGTTTATAACACTGTAACTGCACCTATTTGTTATGTTACAACAAAAGGGAAGGAACAGCTGATTATGCAATTTCTCTTTATTTTCTATTTTATGCTCATATGGTTAACAGTTTCCTTGGCTGAATACACATTTATGTGTATCAAGGTTTTCAGGCTGATTCTTTCATGGAGATAATCTCAACCAAATAACAAAGTTTGATTAGAGTAAAAACAAAAACTATCTGAAGTAATGATTATACTGATATATACAGATGGCTTGATTTACTTATACCTGGCTTAAAAGAATTTAATCTCAACATCTAATAAATTACTACACATTTATAAAACTTGTCTATCAGATATTCTGCCTAATTTAGTACAATTTTTACATAGTTGACACAGATCTTTTTTTTTTCTAGTAGTCACTAAGTTTTACTGATTCTACACACCAAGCTTTAGACAGATATACTGTTCCAAACCTAACTTCTAGAGAAGTAAAGCTTCAAGACAGATACATTCAAGCATAAGTGACTCAACATTCACATTGCCATAGAAACCAATATCCCATGTATTTAGGAAAAGTTCGAAACAAATAAGATACTATGAGGATAAATTGTTATATTCAATAAAGTACTAACAGTTATTTATAACTTTGTTCAATACAGTGCAATCCCCTATTAAAAACAACTACATATACAGCTACTGCAACCCTCACATAATTAAACAAATATTAAATATTGAGAGATAAGTTTAAAGTATCCTCTCTATAAATTTTAAAGGAAACAGAAGCATACTGAAATTACATTTTGACATCATAATATTCTATGTGATTGAAAACAGGCCACAACAATTTGGGTACATCCATATTATGGAAAGCTAAAACCAAGTATTATTTCCACTGTGATCATTTTTTCACAATTAACTACATTGTACTAGGATTATGAATCCAAAAGTCAGAAAATATCTTCCAACTCTATAGTTTTTACATTATCATTTATTAATATATAATTAAATATAAAAGCTAAGCCATTTCGAAGATGCAGACAAATTCGTTGACGAGTGTATAAAACAATGTTTCAGAATAGGACTGGAAAAATAAAAAAGTGGTTGTATCATAAATAACAATTAGAAATAAAACATACTTGCTTTCCAATGTGTGATCTTTCTAGAACAAAAATATCATTTGGTTTCATGTTAACAATAACAATTACGAAAAATAATTCCAGTTATATTTAGATGATGCTAGAAAAGAAAACAAGTTCTAATTATTCTATTTCTGGGAATTAATATTGTTCTTAAGAGATGGAATTTTGTCCAAAATGAAAAAAGTTTAATTTTAAATTAAGTAAAGCATATTTGATGCTACATTTCTTTTGCAATATAACCACTGACTTAATTCATCACATAAATATTTACGACACCTTACAAAGTTGCCAATATATTTCAGACGTTTTTGCTCACCTGAATTACATCTCTTCGAATGCTTTTCATTGGGTTACCTTCTACTGACAGAAACTTCAGATGTGACATAGTTCCCAGAGCATTGGGTAAACTAACAGTGTAATACAAAATCAACATTAATCAGATGTAAATACATGTTTTCATTTTTATAGATATATATATATATATATATATATATATATATATACACACATATATATATACGCAAAATATTATATGAATATTTGAGTGGTCTTTCATTAAGTTATATTGTGAGGAGCATATGACATATAATTACAAATCTCAATTGATACACTGTTTTTATGAAGTAGGTAAAGATTTATTTGACTATTCAAGGTATATGTAGATAAAAGGTTCTTTAAATAAACAAGAAATAAATATATACAGATTATATACATATATATATACAGGTATGTTGTAGTAAATAATGCTCACACACATATACATACATGTCTGATACCCACCTTCCAGAAGGCTTTAAGTATGAAGCTTCATATACAAAGGTTGAATACATTATATTTAAATGATTCTGTAGCATCTCAGCATCATTACAGTCTACGTAACCATGAATCTTGACAATAGCCCTGCAGGACAGTTTCCATTATAATAGGCTCTATCATAAGGCTGTCACATCCAAAGCATACCATTCCTCTCCAAGTATTTCCACAATCTGTTCAGTGTTCCAGAACAAAGGTTTTCCAGTGCTTGTTTCAAAAGTCTGATCACACAGTTGAAGCTGCACATGGCAACATGTCCTTTATGTCTTCATAGCATGAATACCCATTTCATTTTCCAGCTGCTTGAGGTATGCAATAGTTAAAAGAAAGATATGAGTGAAAGCCTATCTTGGTGAGCCCATACTTTTTTAGCCTTGTTTTCAAATGGAGATACTTCTTGATTATGTTCGGAACTGTTGCCTGAGGTATATAAATAGTTTTTTGGTTATGTTTCAAGTACTGTTACTTGAGGTATGTGAATGGTTTTTGCTACTGATCTCTATGTTTGTGGATTCTCACCTGTTACAAGGTAATGCACTTTACTTATCATGGCTAGAGTATTACTGTTTCAGGTCTTTTCGGATGGTCCTGGTGCCCCAAGTTGGTCCACATTCCTTTCTTTTACAATGGAATTAAGTTTAAGGGATATCCTCATCTTGAAAATTCTAAAATCTCAAGTCTCTGAATACCTTGCATAAAAAAAGCTGTTAAATACCTTTCCCAAAAGTCATTGGTTTGTTATGGCATCTCAGTACGTACAAAATGCCAAGCAATCCCAAAATGTAGTTCTGATACATTCCATTCAACTACAAGTTGATGTAGCACACTCAACCCTCTGTATTCTAAACATAAAACAGAAAAAAGGAGGAATTTTTATAATAAAAAACCCTGCATGCTTTTCATCAGAGCAGACTGTATTAGGAAGATTAAATTAATTATTAATTTATAAATTGTAATGAAGGTACACAAGTAACATCAGGTGATCAAGTCCACAGTAATGGTATATAACCATCTATTGCCTATTATATAAATATGGTTTTTCTATGTATTATTTGTCCCAACTTATATTTAGGCCTAAGTATAGTTAGTATAACAATAGAAATTTTAGCTCAAAATATATATATATGTATATATATATTGTTACGCCTCCAGTCGTTAGTTAATTTCCCGTAAATTCGTTCTGACGAAACTTTAGCGACACAAGTCCTTTCTTAAATAAAACTGGTTTATTCTTTCTGAATATAACTTTGCGATACACTTAATTTTAACAGTCGCGCTATAACAAACACTATAATTCTCAACGAACGTCTCACGTGCTCGACTTAAACAATACTCAGTTCAATTACACACACTGTTCCGTCATGTTGTGACCGTCTTATATATACCAGACTACCCCCAATCTAGTAGTCTCCCGACAATTCATGAAGGTTTGAGAAGGACGTGGCATGATACCAGTCACATGACCTCGCTGATGCAACACTGCCCCCTCCTTAGTATTGTTCATCCCAAACAACAGCCACTTACATTAAACCAATAACAATTAACAATAACTTAATTAAATGTACAGAATTACAAACACAAAATTTCAATTCAACAAAGTCTTTTAATTTTACGGGACGTATCTTCTTCCGTACTGGTCTCTGTCTCGTTGGCTTCTGCTTCACGTGGGGTTCATCTGCTTCATCAGGAAATGTCCTATCGTCAGTAACAGTCACATCAGTGGTAGTAACTTCATCAAGAGCTTCACCATTTCTCTTCCCAAAACTGAATAGTTTCTTCTTCAACAGTGGCTTTTTCGGGTGACAAGTCTTCAGCAGCGTCATTTGTTCCTTTGTTCACTTCGTCCCAACTGAAATGTCCTGGACCATGATAATGCCAAAGCCTGTTGGCATGAACCACGTTTAGCTTACCTCGCCGACCACATTTTATCTGGAAAGTCACGTCTGAGAGACGATCCACTATGTCATATGGGCCTTCCCATGGAGAAGACAACTTAGGAGACTTCACTTTGTTCTTCCTGGGATTATACAACCACACCTTGTCTCCTGGTTCAAAGCTGACTTCAGTAGATCTCTTATCATAAGATAGCTTCATCAATCAGCAGACGTTTTCAAGTTTGAACGCACTTGATGGTGAATATCATCCATCCGTTCCGATAACACTTTCATAAACTCCGACACATTCTCAGGCAACTCTTCATAAGGTGGACGTCCCTTATGCTTGGGTCCCCTTTTAGCACTACATGTACTGCATGTTCTGCACCATTCTTCCACATCTCGCCTCATACCTATCCGGTAAAATCTTTGTCGTAGGTGACTCAATGTCTTCTTAATTCCAAGATGTCCTCCTGTTAAAGTATCATGGGATTGACGCAGCACAACTTCCCGTAACTTTCTTGGTATGACCGTTTGCCAAGTCATCA